GGGTTCTCCAGGCTACCCACATGGCCATGCATGACCGTGCACCCCAAACACAGTTGAAGGGCACCGATTTTCTTGGCCAATGGCTGCAGGAGGCGGCTGGAAGTCCTACCCTTTGTCAGTATATACACACAAACCATAGAGTCCTCCAAGTGTAGCCAACGCTTATTAATTTTTGCGGGGTCCCTGCCTTTCCAAAGAAGTGTTAAAAGGATCATCTTCATCTCCAAAAAGTTAATGTGAGTGGGGTGTAACCATTGTACCTTGAAAAGGTGGCTCCACTGCCACCACCAGGCTCGCATAGAGCCGTGGGACCCTTTTTTAGTCATAGGTTCGCCAGTTAACAGCCGCACATCGGAACCCGTGTGGTTTACCTGCAAGCCAAGGCACTGAACCAGCTGGTGCGGAACGACCGGAACGTTGTCCTCGCCATTGTCATAGGCCAGCCAGCGACCCATAGGTACCATCTCGGACGGATGTGCAGAGGCTCCCGGAGCCAGCCCAAGCCGCCCGATAATATCAGAAGGTTTCATCCTGGGGAGGAAGGCGCTACACATGGTTGCTCCCATGATTGCAAAGGAAGGGATGGAGAAGCTGTCCCCGCACAAACTAAGCCTGCTATCCTCATAGGAGGTCCAGTTGCTCTTGGCGTCTGATGCGGACCGGCAGGTGGCTGTGTGACCTGCACCGAGTCCCAGAAGGATTTCCCTTTCAGACGCATCTAAGAGCCTGGGAGCGTGCTCAGGATGGTGCAGCAGAAACCTATCCTCGTATTGATAGGGAGGGAACCTGTATTGAGCATTCTCCCAGCGCTGCTTTGCAGCCAGCCCGGCCTTGTCTAGGCCGGCCGGAAAAGGTGGTGGTGCTCGGCGAACAATAGATTTCATGAAAGTTGGATAGTTCGCTGTAGAGGCGCGAGTCCATCCTGGCCGGATCCATTGCGAATCGGCGACGGACCCTTGACTCACGTAGGCCCTCACGCAACCTTTTTCTCGCCAAAGGGTCAGCTCCTCCATGGCGAAGAGCTCTTCAGAGCACCAGGCCAGTCTCGGCCGATTGTAAGGAAGAGTGTCTGCCGGGTCAAGTTTGACCGGCTCCACCTCCAATTGTTGGCGGATCTCATCACGGGCCATCTCGTCCATGGAAGCCACGTTCTCCACGCAGAACTTGACCTTGGCAGTGCCATTGAAGGCGGCTTGCACCCATCCAATGAGCTCCAGGAGTCGCCAAAAAAGATTTGAGCCGTCGCCATCCAAGTTACAGCGGTATGCCCTGACCCGGGACAGGTGCACACAGGGGAAGCCTCCCCACACATGCACTTCGATTGCGCGCGGGTACTGGTTTGCCCAGCGCAAAACTGTGCCAAAGTCAATGGAATTTATATCATGAAATTCCTCGACATCGGGCCATGAGCTTCGGGTGACCCTATTGGCGTCTTTCGACACCTCGATGCTAACCTTTCCCAAGGGTTTTACACCAAGGATGTCATATATGCGGAAGGCTCCGCCCACCCCATTAAAGGCGGAAATTACCAATATGGGGCAGGCGATTGGTCCTTTATTGGGGCTGCGCAAGGACCTGACCAGCGAGCGCCCTGACCAACTCAGGCTCCTTGCCACCGCAGCCGCACCGCCAAACTCTGAAGCATCCGAACAAGTAACTTCATCGTCATAGCAGCAGCGTAAGTCGGTCTGCACCAAGGGTGCCAAGCAAAGGAGCGTTTGCAGCTCTTTGTACAACTCCAGCTTGGCGCGTCCGCTCGGCCACGCAGATTCGGTCGCCTCCCAGCTCCTGGAGAGCACGCCCATGGCAGCTCTCCTGAATTGCAATATGAACACCCAGCGGCCCAGTACCATCTGGATGGCCTTCCTGCTGATGGCCCCGCTACGCATGAGGTGGATGGTAGCAAAGCAAGTCCGCAAGATCCGCTCGGGCGAGCCGCCCAGCAAACCCTCTCGGCCATCAAGACGGATCCCCAGCTCAACTGCCTCGGTAGCACCCAGCAGTTGCTTGTCCTCTGCTGTCAGGACCCCAGTGTCATGCCACGCTTCCATCGCAAGCTTCTGCAAATAGGTGTCCATCCCCTGATACTGACCTCCAGATCGCTCCACCGACATGAAATTGTCCAAATACACCTGCCACCAAGAAGTGCTGGTAGTAGACTCCTCAACCACTTTTGTAAACCATTGAGGCACTGCTCGTCCTTTGTGAAGTTCCAGATGCTGAGGCAGGCCCCGCCCTAAAAGGATCTGGCGAGAAATCATCTGCATCACCCCCACGGACGAGCTCTTGTTATGATTTATGTTATTGTTTTCTATAAGGTGTTGCTCCCCTGTCTTTGGCATTAAACCCATAGAATTTGCTTGTATAATAATGTGGGCGGTTAGATGAGAAAGACGGGGGAGCAACAGTCTAACTATATATATATATACATATCTCAATCACAGCATTTGAAAGTGTGTACCAATAATTTCTATGATTCATGTTCAGCTATTAGTGTATTAAATATTAGTTTTATAAGAATCTTAGTCAGCCAGGGAATGGAAAACCCAAAAAAGATATTTTGTCGTTGGAACCTTCCTAAATTCATCGTTTGATTTATCCTGGGATTCATCATCTGCGTTTTGGATTCCTAACTTCATCTTTGGATTTATCCTGGGATTTATCCTCTGCTGTTTGCCATCTTAAATTCATCCTAGAATCCATCCTAGGATTTCTTCCAGGGCTGCTGCCCCTGCCGCCGACCCCAGAAAACCAGGGATACGTAAAGGCATGGCATAGATAGACAGTCCATCACATCTACAGCGAGGTCTAATCAAACCTAATCTATTCGAAGTTTTTTTTTGCAAGCCTACATTCAACATAGTAACCTTCCTGAATCCATCCTGGGATTTGTCATTGTTTTTTGCCAAAGGTTTCTGTTTGCTCTCCTATAAGTCGCGGGTCTTAATCTCGATGTCATCTTGGTCCAAAGAAGCTAGTTTAATCTCTATGTCATTTGAGTAAACTTAGCGACAGTATCTATGTCACATCATGCCCCTCCAATTCCAGCGGAGAGTATCCGATAAACTCATAAACCCATGTTCCAAAAGGATTCAAGCCACATGGATGGCTGACTTTTTGATTAGCTAGGGTGATTTGTGGACACTTGTAGGATTAGGGTGGTATCTAGGATGATTTTGGGTAGCCTTTCTGGGACATGTTGAGAAAATGATGATTTCTAGGATGATTCCGGGTGACTTTTCTGGGACATGCTGAAAAATGATGCTTTCTACGATGATTTTGGGTAGCATTCCTGGGAATCGTTGAAAACATGATGATTTCCACGATGATTTCGACGATGATTTTTCGATGATTTTGGGACAGCTTTCAAACGATAAAAAAATGATAAAACTGCGGGAAATTATCATTTTTTTATCGTTTGAATCATCGTTTAAATCATCGTTCTTGGGATGTTCCCTTCGTTTTCTTCAAAAATGCTCCAAAATGGAGAAAATGATGATTTCGACGATGATTTTTCGATGATTTTGGGACAGCTTTCAAACGATAAAAAAATGATAAAACTGCGGAAAATTATCATTTTTTTATCGTTTGAATCATCGTTTAAATCATCGTTCTTGGGATGTTCCCTTCGTTTTCCTCAAAAATGCTCCAAAATGGAGAAAATGATGATTTCGACGATGATTTTTCGATGATTTTGGGACAGCTTTCAAACGATAAAAAAATGATAAAACTGCGGGAAATTATCATTTTTTTATCGTTTGAATCATCGTTTATATCATCGTTCTTGGGATGTTCCCTTCGTTTTCCTCAAAAATGCTCCAAATGAAGAAAATGATGATTTCGACGATAATTTTTCGATGATTTTGGGACAGCTTTCAAACGATAAAAAAATGATAAAACTGCGGGAAATTATCATTTTTTTATCGTTTGAACCATCGTTTAAATCATCGTTCTTTGGATGCTCCCTTCGTTTTCCTCAAAAATGCTCCAAAATGGAGAAAATGATGATTTCGACGATGATTTTTCGATGATTTTGGGACAGCTTTCAAATGATAAAAAAAATGATAAAACTGCGAGAAATTATCTTTTTTTATGGTTTGAATCATCGTTTAAATCATCGTTTTTGGGATGTTCCCTTCGTTTTCCTTAAAAATGCTTCAAAATGATTGAAAAAGTGGCAAGCCACTGGAAATGTGGAGAAAATAATGATTTCTACGATGATTTAAAATATGATTATTTTTGTTATTTTGGAAACTTCTCTGCGGGGCGCCAATATAAAACAAATAAGCAAAAACAATGGATACATCAATGAACTGTTTGAAAACCAAATGAAAACAATGAAAACTTAACAGTAAATTAAGACAAATTAAGTTTTAGCAAGGGGACAAACACAAAAACAAAACGCATAGCTACTTTGCGTCGAGCGATCCCCAAATTGACACTCCTCTACAGCCATCCATGACCTGGGACAGTAAGCGCAGGCAAATAAAGCCGGTTGATGGTTTGATATGGGTTATGATATTTATTATTTAATAGATTTTATTATGTTATATATATCTATCTATATACGTATATATAGCCCACATCAAAGAAACGACACTTAAAGGGTAAGATCAAGTGGAGAAGACAGGAGAGGAAGTGCAGTAGCAAAGAAAGTCAAGAAAAGAAAAGACGACGTGATAGAAAACACAGAGGATAAAAACCTTTGACAATCCATACAAAGAAAAAACAACAAGATAACCCTGTCAAATGTTAAAAGAGAGGCTGGTTAGACGAAGAAACAAAAGATAATCAAAAAGATAACCATTTCAGATGATAAAAGAGAGGATGATTTATATGATGTTTTGTTTGAAGATCTTGGGATAAAAAATGATAAAAATATTTTTTTTTCATACCTCAGTCTGTGGCTATGAGATTCTTATAATATTAGTTATATCCCCATTTTAGGGCTGGTAGACTCTCCTACCGGTTTACCGTACCGGGTCTCTGGGGCCAGCCACCACGAGACAAACAAACTGGAAGATGAAAGCGATCACTTCGCGCAGCCCTCGGGTCCTGACCGAACCAGTTTTTACACGGAGAGGTCAAGTTGAGACTGAGAAATATGTAGCCTACACATCCCTAAACTAACATGGACCTAACACGGATGTGGAAAAAAACACCATTTGTAGATCATATTCCGAAGGGATTTCCCCATGAGTTAGGCACATCTATTTAGGGATGTCTAGCTCCCTCCCTCCGGTCCACAGGCCAAAGAGCATGATGCCGAAAACCATCCTTGGGCGGGCACCATGTGGCCGTCATCTTTCGAGTGTTTGGCTCAGGACACTTCCGTGTTTACTTCCACAGGAGCAATCTCCTTCAAACATCTTCAACCTGTGCCCAATAAAATGCAAACATGTAGGTCGTGTATATGATGATTAATCATGATAAACCATCCCAAATTTGACTGGGGGGTCATCATGATACACCATCCCATGAAGAAGGTGGTACACTAGTACACCCAATCTGATACACCTCTAATGTGGGTAAAACAATACCACCGATAAACATGGTGATTTGGGGGATGGTTTATAAAGTTTATGGCATTGTTTTACCCACATGATCCCACATTATTGGAAATGGTATCATCTCAGAAAACCTCCAACCAGTCTTCTTCTCGCCCAGTCACGTCATCGGCATAAACGAATAAAAGGCCGCGACGTAGTGGACCCAGGTCACCCCTGGAAAATCAACTCCGGAGGACGAAATGCTGGTGGAAACATTAGTGAAACATCTTTGAAACATCGTTGAAAGTCTTCAAAAAAAATATTAATATGTCGAAATCATGTCTTTATAGATGGGATCCCCAGGCATTTTGGGGACAAAATCTATAGCGCAGCTTGGGCCAATAGTCGTGGGATCAAAATTTTGGAAACTTGTGCACGGTCAGTTGTTTACTTCAACACTGTGCAATGACTCTGTCACTGGTCAAAACTCAAGGCAAAAACTATGGCCCTATGGCTGTAATGTTTTGTGAGGATGGAGCCAGAAAATGATTTCCATCATCTAACAGATTCCATGAGCTACTCAAAACATGCCAAGAAGATTGAACAGTTCCCACCCAAGAAAACCACGCGGCTCGCCAAAGCGGAACCTTCGTTTGGCCATGTCCAACTGCCCACGAGTAGACCCTGCCTTGATGCCAAATCGTTGCACTTTCGGATTCATTTTGATCACGACTCCGGTGGTTTTTCGGAGTGGTACCAACTACTTCTACTTGACCAAAAAAAATCAAGAAAACATCATATGTAAACGTGTAGATCCAAAATCTCTATAAATCTCTCATATCGGAACCATCCCACAGATTTCCTTCTCGGATGCCAAGAAAAAACGACGGCTGTTACACCATGAAGGGCCGCGTTTGGGCGACCGAACTTCTCACCGAAAGGACACGACTTCCCTTCCTGGCGCAGGGGATTGAACTGGGATCAAGGGCATTTTTTCCACCAACTGGGATTGAACATGATTGAGGAAAAAATGCCCTTGATCCCAGTTCAATCCCAGTTGGTCTTTGAGGTAAGATCCCAGTTGATCCCAGTTCAAGCCCAGAATTGAACATGATTGAGGCAAAAATGGATTCTTTGCGCTTTTCTTGTGGTCTTTGAGCATTTCAAGATATTTCAAGCCAACTACAGTAGTGGTCACGTCATGTCACGTCCGTCTTTTGTGGCACTTGTTCAGTCGATGTGAAATTCCTGTCCTGGGCCCACTGTGGCAAACATGCTGGCACACTCATCGCCTGTCCCGATTGGCTGACTTCGATCCAGATTCTTCGGACCCATCCATATTTGGAACCATGATATAAATATTATAATATTATAATATATTATATAATACTTTATATATACATAGCACCTTTCATCTTTAATCAACGATTCCACGCGTTTCATCCATTTCCGGGCATTCCGGGCAGTGCTTTTTCAACGCAGCTACTCAGGGTCCAACCTACTGGTGATCGATTTTTGAATGTCACGGAGTTTTCGAGTTTTCGGCCACGAGATGTTCATGGATCTTTTCCTCCAGCAATGGGCAAAAAGTCACAGCACTTCACCGGCACGGCCATCTGAAAATGTCCACGTCAAACGCGAGAGGCCGGCCGCTGCCTAGCTGATGCTATGGATTGGATAGAATGTCTTACAGGAAACCATGGGCTGTTTACCAAAAAATAATGGGGCAACTTCATGCAACTTCGTGGAAATTTGTTCTCTTCATCCAAGAACAGGCAAGTAGAATTCCTACTTCGGGTGGATATTTTCTGCATATACATAACACATAACCATTCCATCATCAAGATATGCTCAAAAATGGCAGAAAAAACATGCTAGCTCCAGGTTGCCCGGGTGCAACGAAAGAAGCCCGTGGGACTTGGCTCTGCCACGTAGTGGTTGCTATGCGGCTACTGCACTTGAGCACCTTGATACTTCTCCAGCATCTCCTGTCTGGGTTCTCCGTTTTCTACTGAACCAACCCCCCGTTGTCATCAAATTTAGCTGGGAAATCCAGGAACTAAATCGGCATGCCAAATAGGGCAACTCGTTTAACTAATTTGGGATTTTCTTTGCCATGTTTGATTATGAGAGGGTATGTCATTGTTCAGTTTGGTTTCTTCAGCCGAATTTGAGGTATTTGTTGACTTTTTGGTGGCTTAGCGTTGATCATGCCACGTTGTGCCAAGTGTTGCTGGTTTGCTCTCTAGGTCGGTTGGTTTAAGTTGTAACCTCGTTTTTTGCTGCTCGAACTACCGTTGTTCTTGCTAACCATACCATAGCCCATTTCGGTCGCCAAAATCCACCATCTCTGGCTGCCATTTTCCCAACAAAAACATGGCATCCGCTGAATTGATACAAGACTTGGGGTGTATCCTCTAATTCTCAGCCTAGGGGAAACCGTTCTGGTTTGAGTATATGGGTCTCGTTGACCAGCCTCTCTGGGTCTCGGGCCTGTATTCCGGACCGATACCTAAAATATATGGGTTTGTCTAAGGAGAAAATCCCCCAAATCCACGAGCCCGTCTCAATCAACGTCCGTTTCCCATGAGATGTTTCGTCCTGAAGCAGCTCGTGATATCTCGCCCGGATCACCTTGGCATGTCGCGGGAGGATCTCCTCCAGCTCTCGCCCTGGCCCTGCACGCTGTCGAAGCAAGTCCACCTGCTGGTCGATCGGCCACGTTCACGGCTGGGGAAACAGCTTGGATGCGGAAAAAGGGGAAACCTCCCTGAAATGATGGAGAAGGATATGGGATGATATGTGTAAACAAATCCATCTAGAACCGGGACACCTGGCCCATAGGAAATTTAGTTTAGATGGGTTTGCCCAAAAGATATGGGATGGTTGACCAAAAACTACAGGTATAATAAAACGAACTATCTTATCAGAAGATCTTTTCACATATTGATATAGTGGTATCTACAACAATGCCGGGTTGTCCAAGAATGTTGGGAAAACTACAAGAATTTATTGTTGATCAACACCCAACAGGCTTCCCATTCAAATCACATTTCTTGGGTATTCCCGGATAAACCCCATGTTATAAAGGGGTTCAGGCAGCAAAACTATACCAGATTGAAGCTTGAAGCCAGAAATTGCAAAACGTGATCTGGCTTTGTTTGAAACGGCGCAGGAAGCTCAGCTCCATTTCACTCTCATGCCCCTGAAACTCATCTTTCAGATATCTTCACTCTTCCGAGCCTGCATAACCTCAAGCTGATCTCCCGCTGCAACCTTTCTTTTGAATATGATTAATGACTTGAAACCGCGAACAGGATGGAATGTACCCCAGCATCATGATCAGCAGCATAGCGATGAAGATAGTCAGAGCAGGCAAGGCCCGCTGGGCTTTGGAAGGTTCGCTTCAAGTTTCGTTTCATGGGTCCATGGGTTCATGTTTTTTTTGACTAGGGCAGACACAAATCCACTCACACCTCCAAGCAGACCAAATTTCTCAACGCTGCTCCTCACATTTGCGCAGACGTGCGCAAAATATCAGACAATATCATTCACGTAACCACGGTCAACCCACCAATAAAATACACAATTATCAATCAAAACAGCAAAAAATGTAGTCAGTTTGAAAAATAAATTTAGAAAAAAATATGAAAACAAACCTATGCATAACTATGCAATATATGTCCATTTCCCTTACACATGATAGTGGGTTCACCCAGGAAACGGAGAAAAAAATATATATGCAAAAATCACCAGCATTTCTCTTCAATTCAACATTCCCAGAATAGATTTTCACAAAAAATAACATCAAAAACCCCAAATCTCTCCAAACATCACCAGAATTTTTGCGGCAAAAAAAGGAACAAAGCATGAAAAATCACCGAAAACTCGCCAAGTCTCGATCAATGGATCCCTTGGCAAACTCCACCCCCCTGGGCCCCAAGGCTGTGACGACGTCGCTCAACAGCTCCGCCAGCCACCGCGGCGGCGGTTCGCGGCGCCGGCGACGGCCGAAGGCCAAGTCCAGCTCCGGGGACAGCACCGAGGGCACCAGCTGGGAACGTGGCAGGGACCAACCGTTGGGCACCAGGCTGGATGCCTGGGAGGGACCCTTGGAAGGTGATGAAACATGGGAAAATCCTTTAACGTTGGTAAAACAAGAATAAACCATCCTCCAGATCACCATAGGTGGTGCAAACCATTCCCAAATGGTTTTTTATTATTGCTTTACCTTCATTACAACTGCTATGGCAATGGGAAGATTTATGATTTTTTCTGAAAGAAACGGACCGTGATTTCCCAGCTTAGGTTGTCTCAGAGGGTCCATCCAATCTCTGTCCGATCCAACAAAATGACCCCCACACCTGACCCACGTCCAGTTTCTCTGCCAGTAGGTCCAACATCTGCTGACCCTTCTGGTTGCGCACCACGCAGTACTGCTGATGCTCCGTCATACGACCACCTTGCCATGGGGCTGCCATATATCCAACCGTCAGGTCGGTGAGGGCATTCACCTTGGAGCCGGGGGAAATTAATCCCATCCATTAGTGGTGATTAATGTTGGTGGTGATCTGATGGGAATATTCTTGGGGATATGATTATCAAATAGCCCCTAGGAAAAGCACCTTTTTGGGGGCTCTGTGGGTGCCACGAAGTCAACGTTGAGGAAGAAGGTCTGGTGAAACACGGGGAGCTGGGTCACTGATGTCACTGTTCACTTCTGCACCTTTGTCACCTTGCCTTTGGAAGCGCTTGGACGATGCGGTCCCATTCTTTCTCTGCGTAGGTTTCGCAAGTCTTGGGGCCACAGGTGAACATGGCTCTCTCAAAGCCCTGCTGGCTGCAGTGCTGGTGGACCACGCTTTCCAAGACTAAGGCTTGACGCTGGTTGGACGTCACAACAACACAGTGCACAGCTGCAAGACAGTTCCCTCAGAAAAGCTCTCTCCATACAGCTGCACCGTCCCCTGACTACAAACGCAGTCTGGCCATGTTGCCTAGCTTCAGTGCCAGAGCGTGCACTATTCCAGGGCCTCTCAGCTCAGGGAGGCTACACGTATAGACCTGGAGCTGATGCACCAAGGCCCCCAGCCGTGGCAGCTGAAACGACATTTTGACAGCGTACTTGTGGTTCCCCAGAAGGTGATCCATGTTGAGTCCATGCATGGGCAACGGCTGATTGTCCGGCACGTCTTCGCCAGGCATCTGAGAGAACCAAGTTGGCTTCTCCATCACTGGACGCCACAAGGGCGCAGACACGCGAGGACAAGGGAAGCCTTCGGAGGAACACACGTCTGAAGGCGGTGTGCAGATGCTTTTCTTATGTGGATTTTTGGGAAACATAAAAACGATACTTGCATACTAAAGATGCTGACAAGGTGCTTGCGAGGCCAACTCATACGGATCACCACCTGCGTGGTTCAACCAGTACTGGCACTGTGTCGCTGCATCAGCTTCCCATGCTTCATCAGCGCCAAACGGCCAGAGCTGGATGAAAGCTTTCTCGATACCGCGCCAGTCACCAGCTGTGTGCCGGCAATTTCTGCCCTTTTGCGGGTAACCGCCCAATCTCGAGGCTCGATCCATCACCACGACTCTTGACATGAAAGCAAACCACGTACAAAACCCGGATGAAGAACAAGGCATGGTGTTCGGGCGTGCCCAGCGCACTGTCATCCGACAGCCGCATACAGGTGCCACCCTCATTTGAAAGGTCTCCAGGAACCTGAGAATTTCCATGGTTCACATGTCTGGGTGTCACCGTCAGACACTCTAACACTGAAAAACGCCATACTTTTGAGGGAGTGCTTCAGATGCCTCAAGATTTCCATGGTTCACATGTCTGCATGTCACCGTCAGACACTGAAACACTGAAAAATACTACACCTTCACGGGGTCTCCAAGAACGTGAAATTTCACCAATGCTGGTCTCGGCCGTGCCCTGGCCTTGGCGGCCGAAATTTCCATGATTTACATGTCTGGATGTCACCGTCAGACACTAAAACACTGAAAAATGGCAAGCTGCTGTGTCAGGCTCTGGCAAGTCAAGCGTCAGTCCACTCCACAGTACCGAAGGCCTCGAGCCCGACCATGTAGGTTCAGGTTCACTTTTGATCACTGGTCCAGCTGCCTTCTTTGGTTTTGACTTAGCAGGTGCAGCTGTCGCTTTTTTCACCATGTTGGTTTCTACTTCCATGGCTGTTGCTTTCAACATCTGCATCTCTTTCACCTTGAGCTGTGCCTCTCTCAACTGAAGCAAAGCCTCTCTCTTTTCAAGCTCTGTCAGTTTCATCTTGACCTCTTGTTCGCTAAGTTTGATCTGTGTCTCGGGCTCTTGCTTTGCTATTAGTAGCTTGAGCTGATAGTTCTCTTCAACCTGGTGGCTCCATCGATCAGCCATAGGCAAAAAGCCTGTCATGACTTCCCTTGGCATCAGGAAGCCAGCTTCAGCAGCACCTCGAGAGCTTGAATAGGGACGGCTCGCTCTCGTCGCTATGGAATCCTGTCTGGATCTCCTCGCTCTCCAGATCCTAGCATCTGTAAAGCTGCTGGACTATCATGTTCCACAGCTCTGCGGATCTGGTGATGCAGGAGGAGGACTACTTTGAAGCTCTCTTCGCAAACTCCTTGTGCGAGCATCGCCAGTAGACTCCGACTCTTCATTCATCATATTGATTTCTCTTCCGCCCGGGGCTACTTGAATCACTCTCATGGTAGCACTCAAAATCTACCACCGTTTCATCTTGAGAGTCACAAACAGCTACAATTTCAAGTTTCCTGATGCTCTTGATCACATCTTGGTTCAGTAGGGAGTTTACACATACAGTAATTATTTGGAACCATACCATGGGTGTGTATATAATAATTATATAGTAGGAAGTAGGGAGGCTAGTTTGGTCCCCCCAAATGGTCTATTTATATCTATTTGTCGATTTCGAATCTGTCCCCCACATAACAACCATCCCAACATTGGGGGAAACTTCACACGAAACTACTCAGATCACTGCCCGTGCAGTTTTCAGACAGTTGAAACATGTTGAAACCAAGCAGAAAAAGTTGCAATCATTCGCCAAAGGCACATAGTCAAAACATGCATAGCAAGACTTCGCAATGACCCCAGTGCAATTCTCAGGCTCCTGCCACTTGCAGAAACAAATCAATCGCAAATTAGATGGCTGGAACATCAAGGATTCGAGGACATATCTGATGGGAAATTTGTTCGCCAGCTCACGCTCTGAGATTCAAGGTTGCACTCAAGGCCAAAATGCAACCTCGAAACCATTCGAAACCCAAAACATGAGCTGGAGAATAAAATTCCCATCAGATATGTCCTTTTTATCCTTTTTCCAGGCGTGTTTTCCAGGCTGTTTCCTGTGGGAATCCCAAAAATCTCAGCCATGACCCGATCACCGCCCAACCTTCAATGCAAATACCGGGATTTGCTCATAGCGCCCATCTGCATGCTTCACATGGATACCTTGTGGCTTGTGAGATGCGGGAATGTAGAACAGAGGCACAAAGGCCAGGAGAATATGTGAGCTTGGAAGTGCGGTTCCAGCTATAGATGCAGAGCTAGGCGTTCTATCCCAACTTCTGGGGTTTCATAACCATCGTCAAAAACCATGGTTTTACCCAACTTTTTCACCTCTGCACCGCAGTTCTTTGGATGTGTTTTCAGCCAGCTTCGCCCAGCCACGATTATCCTGCATAAATTCAAAGCCCACAGCCGTCTCCGGTGTCTCACTGGCACTCCGCAGAAAACGCTGAAGCGCCTGGCTCCAGGATCGAAGATATTGAGAGCTGGGAAGGGACACCGACAATTTGGAGCCATCCTCAATCTTGACACCAATTTTCATCCAATGATCCATTTTTGGACAGTGAAATGTCCACCCGAAAACATCAAATGCTTGCCGACTGAGAAAAGTGTGTTACACGTGATCGTGAAGCGATGAGCCGTGCCCCTCGGAGACGCTTCCCCGCGTCCCGGCCTCGGAGTCCCTGGGGTTATCCACACAGTTCGTCCCCAGGACGTACAGTTCATCCAGCCCCAAATCCTCCTCGACCGAGCGAAGCGCTTGTACTTGACATCCCACACCAATGAAGAGAAGCCGTTTGATGTCTTCACCACGAACCTGATGCGTAACGGCTCGGCGGTTGAGAACTTTGAAAATGTGCAAATGTATCGTAGGTGTCATATTCACTACACAAACATCTTGAAACTGTAAACCCGCAAATGCTTATCACGTGCTCATGTCATACAGTATCTGATGCTCGGCGATGCTGACCAACTTGGACAAAGATCCCGGCATCTCCCAGCATCTCCCAGCATCTCCCAACCGCACCTGCCACAGTTCTTCCAACGGCAGCAAGTTGGGAGACAACATGGGTTTCACTCCACCACATTTCAAGACCTCCCAGGGGTTCAGTTGGAGCCAAAAAAAAAGACCAAGAAAAACCGAAAAACCTCAAGATCATCCAAAGGCAAGAAGACTTAAGATGGTTGGCAAGAGTTCTTTTTCCAACCAAAATCCATCTCCAGTCATCTTTGATTCCATTTGCTCTTTCTGTATGTATCCAAATAATATACTTCTATTATCCAGACTCCACCCTAAAACATAATTACACATCACTGAAGCCTATATCCACATCAAAAATCAAACATTGCAATTTGAAATCCATGGAAATCCATAGAAAATCCCTTTGAAATCGAGGTTTCAATGGAAAAAAATATGAAAAATATGAACAAATCATCATATGCATCCATCTCCAAGACCTTCCCCCGCCTCCTCCACCGTTCGCGCCAGGATAGGCCTCGGCTCCAGCCGCTTCTTGGGGCTCTCGGCCGCCGAGGCTACGCAGAGCACGGCGTCCACGCGGCCCGCAGCCAGCAGGGCGCAGGCCATGGAGGTGACGAGGCCGGTCCAGGCGCGCTGAGCCGGGCGCTGCTCGGGGAGGACCTGCAGGGGAACCACGCCGTCCTCCGGGGATGGGATGGATGGGTTGGATGGGTTGGGGTTGGGAAAGTTGACATGTTTTCTTTGGTGCTTTTGGGTGTAAAGGTTTGGAAAATGAGATGGGGGAAAAAATTGACGGATATATGTGATGATGATTTACCCTAAATGTGTTGCAAAAAAAAGAAATTGGCTGGTGATTGTTTGGTAAAGTTCGTCCATTTGTTTGGTGGTTGAGGATGTTGATGAGTGTGACCCATACCCATAAATGGGATGGGTCACTACATACCGCAGCCATGCTGCAGGTATGTTTACACATAGTGTTTCTTGTTTCAAAGGCAAACAATTGGGTCGAAATCCGCTGGAATCTCCTCCACGGTCACGCCAAAGTACAGCTCCATCTCATCCTCGAGGTTCCGCTGTCGACCATGTACGCGTTCCTCCAGCTGGTCGAGTCGTGCCATGCCGTCGCCAAGGAAGGCACAAGCCTCTTGGACTCGGCCAACCTGTAGTGGAATCTGCTAAGAGGCCCGAAGATCAGGTGGAAAACACAAGAACAAAGAATCAAAACTATGGCAAGCCCAAAAAAATATAGAAGTTAGTACATTCCCCCTAAGATCCCCTAAGTCATGTAGTCATAAATTGTTTTGCTACCTTTTTGTGGGGTATAAAATTATGGACCGACTTCTTCGGACCTGAAAAAGTGTGCGGAAACCGCCAATGGTTGAGGGACACCAACAACGTTTGGGGACCCCAAATTTAGAGGGAAACATACGTAGGGAAACCACCAAGCAACCAGAGAGGTATTGCAAAAGCCACATCGGCTGCAAAGATCTTTGGCCGGATAAACTGCCTGTTCAGGTTCTGCCAGTCAGGTCACAGCCGCAAAAAGCCATTTGTTTGATCAACTATCCATAACTATCCCAATTTAATCCCTCCCCTCATAGATATCATCCCAGTTTCATTCACGTTGTTGGTCTTCCCGTCAAAACCATCACACAAAAATCACATGGACAAAAATCATCACGAAAGAACACACACAAAAAAAAACAATGCCTAATTTTAGCACTGGCTTGTATAATTATCACTATCATTGAGAAAAAATATGGAAAAAATATGGACAAAACTGAGTTCACAAATGACTTTCAGTGAAGAGAATCCTCCCCAGCCCACCTGATCCTCCGGCATCGGCTTCGCCTTCCCTCGCCTTCGCTTGGACCGCGCCAGCGCCGCCGTTGCCACCACCGCGGCGTTTCCGCCGGACCCGACGCGCGGAGGACGGGGCGCAGCGCGGCCGCAGCGGGGCGCCACCAGCGATGGCACCAGGGGTTCGGCAGGTCTGGATGCGATGGTCGCCATGGCGAAGAGGGCCATGATGCCATGGCTTTCTTGAGCCGGACATGAACGGCGCTTTTTTTGTGGGTAGAGCTGGACATGTGGCAAGATTTTTTTGGGACATGCGGATGGCAAAATATCAGCTTTTTCCAGGGGATGTGAAATTCAAAGTGAACCCTGCAAGGTGGATGAGTGGAGTCAATAGGTTGGGCACCAAGGAGAAGCAGTTGTGGCCAACATGCTTCAGCCAAACCAAGGGTGGCCACGCCAAAACACAGTCGTTTGAGATCAGTCGCAACCATTGACACAGCTGGGAAATTGGACTTGATTTGACTCTAGTTGGTCACCTCCATCTGAAAACTGGTCCCAGATGGTCACAGTATATATCTTTTCTACTTAAATCTGATGGCTACGATCTTTCCTCTCCTCAAACCTGAGAAAAAACATTTTCCCCAAACCGGATGATTGAAAAAAAATGAAAAAACTCAGACGGGAAACGCCTATACTTGGGGCTCTTGGCATCTTGGGGGTAAAAAAAAATATCGCGGTGTCCTGTAGATTTTTGCGAGACATCTTCCAGTATCCCAACTGTCCACACCTCCTTCAGACCATGGCAGGTCCAAATGTATTGGGGATGTTTCAAGAGATTGCTATGGGAATAATGCAACCTCTGGCAGGATGAAACTGTGTGGCTATTGGAGTTTAATACTGATCTGGACTCTGCAGGCTCCTGTGCTGCTATAGAAGTTTCAATGAGATGGGACCATAAAATGAGGTCCCCAGATGTTTCACCACTAGGGCCCCTTTTGGTCTTGGGCGAGCAGGTGCAGTTGACAACCCAAGGGCACTTACCTGCTTGGGCCCAGAGCTAAGTGACAGCGTTGCACTTGTGATAGCCAAAGATGTGATCCCCCTTAAGATCGACCATTTAGTAGGTGGATATTTTGACAGCAAAAATAAAGCAATCAATGGTGTGAAAGTGTACCAAGCAGTCTTGACATCTGAAAAGAAACCTTCACTGAAAAATCATTGCTGACACTCTCACAAAATGGCCTTCTGACCTGTGTTTCAAAATTACATCTCGGTTTCTGTGTGCAGTCGCCAAGCCAATCACGAAACGGCTGTCCCAAACGCTCGAATGCTGCTCCTGACCAACTTCTGTAGACCTCACAGCGAGCCAGACTCACTGGGGAAATACTCTCTTTAGATTCTTAAAGGGTCTTTACTAATAAAATCACATAATGATAGAATATTAAAAACCATCATAATAAACCAAGAATGATAAGTCAACAAGTGATTAATCTACTCGTGACTGATCATGACCAATCGGGAATCAAGTCAAAAAAACCTAGAAAATCTCAGGATCTTTTCACCCCACACTGAGCTTTCCACGAAGAAAGCCGCGACCAGCAGGAGCAAGAAGCAACCTCCGGCTCTGGCCAGCCAGCCTGCGATGGCACGTTTTTTCGGGTATCTCGTGAAAACAAAACCACCATCCACCGTGAAAAATCCTGTACCCTCTGGTAAACTAACATAACTATGGAAAATCACCATTTTCAATGGGAAAACTCACTATAAATGGCCATTTTCAATTGCTATGTTAGTTCACCAGAGGGTAGTCCTGCAGTTCACATCCCCAAATCTGTTTCTTGTGAATCCCTGCAGATTTTCCATGATTTTCCCAAAAAAATCCTCCCGGGTCAACCCCTGAAAATTGATGTCCCCGGCTTGACAAAACGCCTGAAGTTCGGAGTCTCAGCCACCGCGTGCGGCCAGCCACCTGGGAGGACACATCAACGATAGTTATCATTGGTTCCCAATAAATTACGTGCCATTGTTGATAACTATATAGCTACCCTCTGGTGAACTAACATAGCAATTGAAAATGGCCATTTATAGTGGATTTTCCTATTAAAAATGGTGATTTTCCATTGCTATGTTAGTTCACCAGAGGGTACCCTTGTTTGCCATTGTTTTCCTTTGTTGTTAGTTACATACCATTAGTTGCCATCCATTATTAGGTACTTGCCATATGTTACGGTTGTTTATCCCACAATGGAGGAGAACAAAGAAACCCCCGCCTCCTCCACCAGTCCGATGCTCCGAACGGCTTCCTCGCGGATGGGAAAAGTCCCAGGACCCCAGGATGTATCCAACAAGCCGTGGGTAAATCCTCAGAACCTTCCAGACTGCTACAACAAAATCAATCCAAAATAGACCAGAGTCATCCCAAGTCATCCCATGTTCATCAACTCTGGGTTTTTGGCTGGATCCCCAACCTTCCAGATGCAAGCCCAACAGTCTTCTGATCATTTGATGGCCGAAAACCGGGAGTAAACACGGAAGTTTCAGCCCCAAATATCATATTGCTGGTTAGTTCTATCTCCTTATATTCCCACTATGTCATGTCCCATAATCAAACATGATTTAACCCCATTCAGCTTATTGCTATCCATGTGCGTTGCAAAGTAAGAGTCGTGATTCGCTTTGTTCAAACAGATCATCTCATTTCCATCATCCGACAAAAAATCCCAGCAAACCGCATGTTTTCGCATATGGGATTGTCTGAAAATGGTGTACTCATGGCCTCATATTTAGATGGCAATAACTGGACTGATAGCTCTAAACAGCTCCCTCCAAACCACTGGACATGTTCTCCCTATTCTTGCGTCCAATTCAGTAGTGGATGTCTGATGTCAGGAAAAATCCACTGAAATCATCACAAATCATCTTCAGATTCAGCAAAAATCCAGGTCTCCGGGTAGCCTCAGAGGGATGATGTCATAATTTGCTGATCGAACCTTCAGGCGCTTGGCAGTGCCCGGGCGAAGCTCTTCAAGGCGCTCCAGCTGCGACATCAGGTCCTTGGGGAAATCCATTGGGGAAATCCATGGGAAATGAGAGATTTGCCCACAAGAAGGTGAAGAAAAATTGGAACATGGCCCATGAAAGGTGGAAAACCAGACTGTATGAAACGAATTCAAAATCATGGGGAAGTTCACTGAAAAAGAGAGCAACTACTGTAAAACTGACGATTTGAAGCGGCAGGAAAAATGGATTGAAGCGACAACAAAAGGAGCTGACCCAGAAAAAATGAGAATTTCAATACCGAAAACCGGGTTGAACCAACACGATTTCATGAGAAACAATGGAGAAATTGCAGAAAAACGTGGAAAACGAAGGAACTCGGAGATTCAACCAACAGAACAGTTCTAAACTGAACAGATTATGAACAGAACAACCCACCCAAACCTGGAATGGTCCAGCTATTCACCTTGCCTTTCCCCAACCATCTCCCGTCCAGAAGCACCTTTTTGTCCCCAGTCAAGCGCTTGCCTTGGGCAAGAGCCGCACCAGTTTCTCTCAGAGCCGAACTGCTAGTTCCTACACACTGCTGCGGGGCTAGGCTCAGGTGTTAATTTTCAAGGCATTTCATCAGCTAATGATTTTTGGGAGATACAACCAGCAAAAATTGTGAAACTCAGGGACCAACAGGCATCTGGGAGATTTGGGATGTAAGTTGATGCAACTCACAAAAAATCTCAAACAAAATGCGAATGGATGCGAATCGGTTGGATTTGTTTGGGACTTCGAAGCCATCACAGCACCACTGCGCCTCGTTTGGCCTCCGGCCGGGTGGCACTCTTGGCGGCCGCCGCCGGTCGACCATTGAACCTGCAGGAGGGGTATCCAACCCTTGTCCATTGACATGTCCATGGAGAAATTGAATCATCATCATCATCATCATCATCCGTCATCAGTCATCAGTCATCAGCCATCAGTCATCATCATCGTTATCATCATCACCATCACCATCATCAATCATCAATCATCAATCATCAATATCATCGCCATCATCATCATCATCATCATCATCGTCATCATCATCATCATCATCATCCGTCATCCGTCATCAGTCATCAGTCATCATCATCGTTATCATCATCACCATCACCATCATCAATCATCAATCATCAATCATCAATATCATCGCCATCATCATCATCATCAGTCATCATCATCTTCATCACCAACATCATCATCATCAGTCATCATCGTCATCATCATCATCATCACCATCACCATCATCATCAGTCATCAGTCATCAGTCATCATCATCATCATCGTCGTCATCATCATCATCACCATCACCATCATCAATCCTCAATCATCAATCATCCATATCATCGCCATCATCATCATCATCATCATCAACATCAAAATC